AACCATTGAATGGAGTAACTCACACTTACATTGTGTGTTCGCTGTACAGCAGCATACATTAAAAGAACAACGAATACATTATTACATCAACGACAAACAGCAGCAGCAACAACAACAGCACGAAGCGCAATTGTAGTCATAAATTACAACAACAGCAATAGTCCACCCAATTCTCTAACATGGCAACGAGATAGCAACAATAACAGCAAAATGAACGAAAAAAGGCAAGAGAACAACAATTGAAATAAAACGAACAACAATACACGGCTGATGATGGCGATGATGTACACCACCTCCAAGAGATTGTGCACAGTGGTTTGAAATCAGATTTTTTTTTTGCATAATTGGGAAAAATATTTTTTAGGTGGACGAGAGAAAGGAAGCAAATCTGTTAAACAGTTATGAGCAGCCTCGAACGAAAAAGTATAAACAAAGCACACATATTCTCTCTCGATTTTCATTTACCGTTGATTTGGAATCTCTCACTACTACTAATGCGAATATAATGAACAAGGCCGCCGTAAAATGTCAAGGTTAACAAGGTTCAGAGTTAAAGAAAAATAATTAAAAAAAATATTTAAAAAAAAAAATAATTAAAGAAAATAATTACTGCAGTCAGACTTTGTTTGGCGAAAAATTACTTCGTGCAAAAATACTTCACATGTTCTCCACGGACGTATCTAGGGCAGAGGTTTAGTTCCATGCGGAATAAATATTTCTTTTATGGCTCGCTCCTAGTTGGCTCCTTGAAATGTATTTAAGAAGAAATTGAAAAGGTTGAAAAAGAACAAGGTCGATAAAACTTTATAGGTCCACGTTTTGGTATAGCCCTCATATAACGGTACCTCCCGATATTCGGTATTTTGATGATTTTAGCGCCAGTATTTACAGGAATTGATTCAAGTTTCGTAATGTAAGTTCGTAATGGGTATTACAGCCTATGGTAGAAAATTGATTATGCAGGTTCAGGTCTTCCTATAGCTCCTATATATCGGCACCTCCCTTTATTTTTATGTTTTTGCGACATTATTCACCGGATTTTTGCAAGTTTTCTTTTTATACCCTCCACCATACTTAATAATATACCCCCCATATTAATTTTGTCATTCCGTTTGTAACTCCTCGAAATACTCATGTCAGACCCAACAAAGTATACATATTCTTGATCAGCGTAAAATTCTAAGTCGATTTAGCGATGTCCTTCTGTCTGTCCGTCTGTCCGTCCGTCTATCTGTGTGTCTGTTGTAATCACGCTAGAAGGCTAAAATTTTGCACACATGTATATTTTGCCAGAAGTTCGCAAATGGGCCATGTAGGTCCAAGTTATCATATAGCCCCCATATAACGGTACCTCCCGATATTCGGTATTTTGATGATTTTACCGACATTATTCACCGGAATTGTCTCACATCTGGTATTTAAAGTTTGCAATGAATACTAAATCCTAAGACGGAAAATTGTTTGTGCAGGTCCACTCCTTCGTATGGCCCCCATATAACGATACCTAAAGATAATATTTATTGTAATGACTGTAGCTACATTATTCACCGTTTTTTTTCTAAGTTTCGCATTTGAATATTGTAATGGCTTATGACATATGCAGGTCCATGTCGTCGTATTGACCCTAATATAACGGCTACATTCGGTATTTCTAAGATTTTAACGGATTTTATTGTTTTTGAGAATTGCCAAATTCGTTCCAAATGGTGGAGGGTACTCAAAGTTCGGCCTGGCCGAACCTACAGCTTTTTTACTTCTTTAATATTGTAATGTCCTATGACAAAACTTGCCTGTGCAGGTCCACGTCCTCGTATAGACCCCAATATTACGGTAACTCCCTATACAGGGTGAGATAAAAATACTGCATCAAAGTCAAATGCCATAATTTTTAAATTTTTTTCTTAATTTTATTGAATGAAAGCAAAAAATGTCGGAAATGGCATCAAATTTTAGTACAAGTTTGGATTTGTTCGAATTGGTCACCTTTGGCGCGAATTATGGCCTTCAAACGGCCAATGAAACCGTCACATGCTGCCTGAATATTGCTCTGTGGTATTTTGGCCCATTCCCGGCGATGCGCTTGCTTGAGGTGTTCTGTATTTTTTAGTGCCAACCTTGCTTTCCAAAATACTCCAGACACAATATTCCAACGGATTGGTATCCGGGAATATTGGTGGTCATTGTGCGATGGAAATGAAGCGAGGAACCTCATTTTGAAATCATTCTGATGGTGGTGCTGAGTCCTGTTGGAATGTCCAAGGTCTGTGGCCAAAATGTTTGCGTGCCCAAGACTTTAATAAACCCTCCAGAATATTTTCGCGATAAAATTCGGCATTTATTCTGATGCCACGGTCGATTAATATAAGCGGAGAGCGACCATAGGCTGTTATTGATGCCCACACCACTACCATGGCCGGGCTTGAGTTTTGGTGGCCAAGGTGACAGTAATTTTGTTTGTTTACAAACTGCTGGAAAAGGAATATTTTCTCATCGAGACAGCCAAATTCGGCAGTTCACAACTTTCGGCCAAGCGACGTTTTATGCTCTTTTAAGTCTATTTTCTTTCTGTTGCGATGTAAGTTCTTGCACTTTTTGGAATTTCAATGGCTTTATCCCCAGCTCATTTTTCATTTTTTTCGGCCATTGCGACGGGGGTCTCGATCAAGTCGCTTCTTTACTTTTCGAACCATTTTTGCTGATGTTGCTGTTTTCTTTCGTCCACTTCCTTGAAGTCGGGCTACGCTATCAGTATCACGGTAACGAGCGATTGTAGGAGACACAAAAAAAAATATTCACATTTAAATGCTGGAGTGCTCTAACGATATCCACTTGTTGTTTTCCAGCCAAATATAAAGAAATCACTCATTCGCGCTTGAATTCCATCACGAAATTTTTTTTGTGGAAAATTCTCACCAAAATGCTTTTGCACGATTGTAAACAATATAATGAACTGCCATTGGAATAATTTTAACAGCTTTCGGACGAGAGGCTGAGAAATGACAGCAGTCACCCTGTATATGCCATAACTTGCGAAACAAGTTGCGATTCTTTACAAACTTGCTATATATAAATATTTATCTTAGCTAGGAATCTGATATGAATATGTAGTTTATCGGAATTTATGTATTCGCATAAAATTGAAAAATTCGGTTTCCTTCAAAATTTTGCACATACAATTTGTTTTATCTCTATTAGATGAAGCGGACTATTTCGGTTAACTATATCTGTTACCTCAAGCATATTTCCACACTTTCCAAAAATTTGCACATATATCATATAAAGTAGACGATATAGTCCAGATATAACACGTTGTAATTTTTATATCAGACTTAGGTCAGACACGAATTAGACAACTGCTTCGGAACCTTCGGTCAATTGTTAGCATAATCCGAATTCAAGGCTGCATGTATATATCTGTCGCCAAAATCGATTGATACTTTTTAACTTGTTTTCTTTTAAAAATGTTCACATTTTGTGTGGGAGGTACCAGAAGGATTGGACCGATATCGCCCATCTCCGAACTCGATTAAAATTTGACCACAATATTACGATGTACCTAGTTTGGATCAAATCGGATAATCCATTCGAGAGTTATCGTGGGCACCAGCCAGACAGACGGAAGGATGGACATCGTTACAGTAGATCGACTCCAAATGTTCTGAAACTGATTTGGTTCAAAGAGACCTATAGTCTAAAACCATTATTTCGATGAGGCACGTTTCGGTCCTATCAAATGATGTATACCCTCTGTAGACATATGGCAGAGGGTATAAAAAAGCACACATGTGTATATGCTTCTCACGCCATGGTAGTTAGAAGATATCTAAAAATTCTCCATTTGGCTTAGTAGGCGTCACAGATTTATCCCTAATTCCAGATACCTATAGGTTCTGCATTATTATATTCTAACTAAAGATTTATTTATTTTTTTTTTTTCTTACAATAAACCACTGTAACAATGTAAGCTATAAGTAAAGTATTTTTTTCCAAAACAAGTCCAACACAAGCGCCCTTCTGACAAAAATTGAAAATTTATGATGTAAAAAGAATTTTTTGTGTGTTATAAATTACAAGAAAGAAACAAAAAAAAACTTAAGGTAGGTACGCAAAAATAAACGGACATTGAAGCAATGAGACAAAGAAGAAAAAAATCAAAAAATTCATACCAAAAAGCTAACGTGGAAGGCCAACAAAAATATACCCAAAGAAAAAAAAAACGAACACAAAAGAAACTCATAATAAAAAGTGTAGAGAAATGTTGTGGCACAGCAACAAAAAAAAAACAGTCATGGAATGAATGTTCCAAAAGTGGGGTGGAGTTGTTGGGGGTGCGCACGTTTGACTGTTTTTGCACTCCATGACAGCAGCAACAACAACAAAATTCCCACAAAGAGCATGCTAGAAGAAAGAAAGACAGGCAGGCAGAAAAAAAAAACAAAACTTTGGTAACAGGTTCTTGGTGTGGGCCCCCTGGCTGTGGAAATAAAAATGGAAGTTTGTTGCTTTGGAGTATTGGCTTTGTGTGTTGGTTTTCTCATTGTCCAGGAGAGTGAGAGGCCATTGGTGGGTAATGTGAACACAATAAGCTCTCCGATGGGTGGTGGTTTGCTTGTTCCACCAATCACATTGCTGAGTGTTTGCGAAGAGAGTCGAAGAGCAGAACAGCAAGTGTTATTTTGCCTTTATCAAAACTAGTTTCTTTATGTCTGATATGTTTGCCTCTTTTTCTCTTGTGTTTATGGACTATGTGTTTGTATTGTGTCTCTTTCCTGGGCGACAACCACAAGCCAAGCTACAAACTACAAAATATTTTGGCCTGGCCCCTTTCACATTGTGAGTGCCAGGCAAAACAGGTTTTTGTTGGTGTGTTACAAAGCCTCTCTCACTCTCATCTGGCGCTCAACCACAAAACTGCCAACAACTGTTGTTATAATCACCTCGTACCTAGTCGTTAACGCACTTTGTTCGTGGTTGGTCGCGCAGTCGTGTATGTTTGCTGTGTAGTTTCCCCGCCAGGCATGGTTTAATGTGTGCGAGTGTGTTTGATATATTTTTGAAGCCTAGCTCTTGTCCATTACCCTCGGCGAGAGAGAGTGAACGTCTTTCTCTCTGTGTGCTCTTTGCCAGTGTGTGAGTTAGTTGTGTGGCTGGAAAATAATCACCGTCACCGTCGCAAATTTTTGATTATGGTCTTTAATGGTTAGTTGTTGATGTTTTTTACAGCGGTAATGTTGTGTTTTGTGTCGTCGTCGTTCGTTTGTTCGCCGCACACTGTTCTACGCTGCTATACAATAATAATAACACTACTACCTACCATCATCATCACCACCACGTCACGTCGCCGTTTATTTGAAAATCATTCGTCGTTGCATTTGACGTAGTCCAGTAATTTTAATTTTTTCAAATTGTATATTTTCTTAAATTGATTTGTCGAAGAAGAATCAACATTTTTTGGAAAAAATCTAATCAAATTCCTTTAACGAGGCCAAGAAGAAAACGCGTCGCGACCGCTCTGCAATTTCGCCGTGTGAAATTATTATCCCTCGAGATTATTAACGAAGAAAAGAAACAGCCATCATCAATTTAAAAAAAAAAAATAATAAGTGGTTAATAATAAAATTTAAAAATACATAATAATAAAAATTAAGTGTTTACAAAAATTACCCCTAATTGAACCCAAGAAAATAACAACACAATAAAATGATGTAAAAACAAAAATTAAAAAAAAAATAAAAAAGGAAACCAAAACAAAATTAAAAAATAAAGAAAAAGTGTGTTCACCTCGCAATAAAATTAAACCAATATTTTATCAATTAAATAAAAAAAAAACAAACTACAAGACGGCTTACCACCCATCACCTCCTGCCCGTACGACGTTCAAAGAAGATAAGTCAAGCTGACAGTGAAAATCCAAAACTTAACAAATTCGCCACAACAAAGCCCACGCATTTGTTGTCATTTTTCTTTTGTTGTTATCATCACTATTCTTGTTGTTGTTGTTGGTTTTTAATAAGTGTCATCAATTTTAATTACACTCATTTAGTGAGCTAGACAAACGTTTAACACACACTCGCTGGTCTCCTCTTGTTTGTTTGGTGGCCGGCTCGACTCGTGCTTTTCGTGGATTGTAAGCGAACTATAATTAAATCGGGAAAACAAGAAAAGAAAACAAAATTTGTTTACAAAATCAAAAAAGCTATTGCAAATAAAATAAAATAAAAATATTTAATTTCTTTCAACAAAAAACACGTGCTTCATCACCAGAAAAAAATTCTTTAAGTGTCTCCAGCGAAAACAAACCTTGTCTGCTGGCATTGTTTGACGTCCCCGTGTGTGTATTAAAAAGCCTTCAAAATTCTAGATAAAGTGGCCTCAATAGGCGCCAACACGCTTAATTTCACTGATTTAGGGAGCCCCTACGAGGGGCCTCCCAGCACTCCACAGTCCGGCATGGATGCCCCCGATGCCCCGCATACACCCAAATACATGGATGGCGGCTCGACGGCCAGCATAACACCGGGTGCCGGTTCGGGTGGCAATGGTGGCCCTGGTGGTCCCGGCGGACCCATTGGCCCCGGTGGCCCCGCCGGTCCCACAGGCGGCAATATACCGGGGAAATCGGCCTTCGTTGAACTGCAACAGCATGCTGCCGCTGGGTAAGTACAGCAAACGTAATGGGATATTAAGAGCAGGATATAACTTGAGGGGGTTTAGAGGTAGATTTATATAATTCCGGATTTTATGAGGTCATATGAAATGATGTTTTTTTTTTATGACATCTGAAAGCGTAGCAAAAAAGTGCAGAACTATTCTAATAGTTTTTGGCCGTTTGTGGGACGAAGTCAATTTGGTCATTTCCGGATCCTAATCCATTCAGTTTTTATGATGCAATAAAAAAATATTTTTTGGATCCAAAATTTGAGAATAGTGCGAAATCATGCAGATTTTTTTTCGGATTTTTAACAATTGAATTCCATTTCAAATTGTCTGAATTTTATCCAAAAATTTGGCAAAATTTTCTCATATTTCAAGAGAACTTTGAGTTACTCGGATTTAAATAGTCGACTAGAATTGTTCAGGGGATTCTTGTTCTATGAAACAATTAAATGAAAAATATGTCCTTCATATTTTTATCCATTTGGCACATCTCTTCCTCACAAAAGTTTTCATTTCACATTTTCATAGAACGGGAATTGATCTCCTGGTTTGAAACTGGTATTTGGGAAAAGTGAACAATTATTTGGTTAAAATAAAAAAAGAAAGTTTAGAGTCTATTTTTTGGCAAAAAAACATGAATTTTGAGTCATTCGAATTTAAGAGGCAGTACGATTTTTTATTTTCTATTTAAAATCCAAAATTTCGAAATATTGAATTATTTTGGAATTATTTCCGAATTTTAAAAAATTGTAATGGCATTTTGTTCTTCAAAAATTTGGAATTTTTTCATAGAGCTCATAAAGCCCAAAACATTTACCGACATAGGATACTTCTCCGCTGTTTAGACATAAAGCTTGAAATTTTTCGAATGTGGTTCTCTATTTAAGACCTGAAAAATGTTAAACAAGGTTTTGGATTTTTTTTTTTTTTGTGTTTTGGAAGAGTTTTGTGATCATGGAAATATTTGGCAGGGCTATTTTTAAAAATCCGGCATTTAAACTTTCCAAACTTCGAGACCAAGAACATTCAATGCTTCTACTGCAAAATAGAATTTCTTTTTAACTAAACACATTTTAACTTAAACTCCATAAAGAACTCTCGGCGAGCTTTTCAAACAATTTGACAAAGTGGATTGTCCGAAATAAAAAAAAAATAAAATAAAAAAAATGAAATTAAAAAAATGGCGCCCAAGCTAATTTAATCTCAGGTTTAGGTCCGTTTTGTGTAGTTTGTTTTTTTACAGAAACAAATGTGGTGGAAAACTTTTTACAGGAAACTATTCTATTAGTGTTACCAATCGTTGTCAGAAATTGTGATTCGAAAAAACGAATTTAAACTTTAAATTTCCTTTCGATTACTCTTATGATTTTATTCTCCGATATCTCGCCAATATCTCGCTTAACTTGACCAGGAAATTTTGGGACCGATTCTCAAATACCTATACTTAAAAACTTATTTGAAGAATATATTTTTGCTATTGGAAGTGGTGGTAATCTATTAAGGGAGCCATGATTGGTACATTAATCAAAAATTATAAACCGGTCCTTAAAATTTCCAAACTCCGATTCAGTAATTGTTAATTAAGAGTACTTTTTTTTAAGAATCATTACACAATTTCAAAAAAAAATTCTCAGTATTTATACAGGACCTTAGAAAAAAAATACAAATATTGAATTTAGCAAAAAAAAAAAAAAAGAAATGGCGCCCAAGCTAAATTATTGCTTCGATTATGAAAAAAGTTGTCAGTTTTGTGTAGTTTTTAACTAAATCAAATAAGGATTTATATTTTCAGAGAGATAATTCCAGTAGTATTCGATGATGATGTTGTCCGTCCTTTGAAATTCCAATTGCAAACGAATTAAAATTTTTAATTTCCTAAAGCCAAAATCTTTGCTTGGAAATTTCAAGGCACCAATTGGCCAATTTCAAAGCCAATTTAAATCGATTTTTAAGTAATTGAAAATCATTATATTACAACATACAAAATATAGAAGTTTTGGAGCAAAATGTTCTGAAAATATTTAAAAATTTAACTTTTCGCCCCCTTCCTTTTACGTCGATGCTGTGATGCACATGTTTTGATAATGGGCCTCTATTTATCCGTCGCAATTAGAATTGAAGTCTATCACAGCTAGTTCTTTACAATTTTTTTCCCAAATTTACCCAATTCTATTTCTAAAGAGGTCTTCAATGGGGTCAGAATACAAAATATTGTTAAATTTTGAAATTTTTCAAATTGAATATTTTTAGATATGTTTTGGTAAAAATATTCGATCCTTAGCTAGGAGAGGTTTTCTAATAAATTTTCAAATTTCATCAATTTTTTAAAGGTACTATATTTATTTAAAAAAATCCAAAATTATGATCAATTCTTTACAAGAAATTCTCCGTTTCTAAAATATATTACAATTTTAAAGAAATTATAAATAATCATAAACTGAAAAAACATTTTTTTAAATATAATGTATTCTGTAACATATTTAATAGGTTCCCGACGCTCATAATCTATTGTAATAAACTAAGAACTTCATATCTTCTTAATCTTCTTCGAATGTCTAAAAGTTTGTAGTTTGTAAAATATGTTAAAGCAGAGGTTTCTGTTGTAAGAATATGCTCACAGATATCCTCCTATTAAGGTACGAAAGAAACTCTGTCTGAAAATCAAAAAAAAAAATTCCTCTATATATATATATATATATATATATATATATATATATATATATATATATATATATATATATATATATATATATATTATTTAGTATTTATTTATAAATTTTAAGAAAAATTGTTTAAAGATTTCCCAATTAAAATCCGACATCAATTTTTAAAATAAAAATATAAATCCTTCAAGGAAATTAGATCTTAGGGAATTATTAACAAAAGTTCTGTACCGCCTCATATACCGTCGCTTAGTTCAAACAAAAAAATTCCCCTATTTATATTTCAATTTTTTTCTAGAATTTCAAAAACATTTCATGCAATATAACACACAATATATCATGTGAGTTTTTATTTGAAAATTCTCCAATTGTTGTTGTTTTCCAAATGTAAATTTTACATTTTGTTCGTTTACTGATTCAGTGATAATCTTTCGTTGTTTATCATTGCGTTTTATTGCTGTACTATTTCATTGTCATTTCAAAATAACAAAAAACCAAAAAGAAATAAAAAATACTTGTCGTGTGGACATTGCAGATTTTCTATGGAAATGATGTTATCGTTGTTTCAAAAAAAAAAAAAAAAAAAAAAACTAGACAGAAAAAAAAATACAAATGCAAAAGTGAAAAATGCAACTTTGTACGAAACATGTAAAAATTTATTCCAAAAAATAATGTGGGAAGTGCTGACTTAACTTTTAGTTCTCTTTTTCTCTCCTTTTTTGTTTTGTAGTCCACAAATGTCATTTGCATTTAGCCAAAATGCTGGCTGTTAACAGGGAATGTTGTTGTTTTGCCATAATAAAGACAACATGAAATTTGATAAAAAAAAAAAAACTATCAGAGAACACATGCAAATGCCATGAAAGGAATTCTGCAATACAAAAAAATCAATAAAAAATATTTTTATTTTTGTCTTTTTCAATACTTTGTATAATTTATTGTGTGTTAAGAAAAAAATGATAGGGGCTTTATGTTTGATTCGTAAATATAAATAATATTTTATTTTGATATATGGGTATTTGAAAAATGTTTACATTTGTTTTCCATTAAAATATTAATGCACCAAAAAAAAAAAAAATTTCTAGTTAAAGAAAATGTTGGAGAAATAGTTTTATTGAATAAATTTGTTATTTCGGTTAATAAAATTATAAAAAATTAAAAAAAAAAAAACATTGAACTTCATGTTTTGTATCCATTGGATGGTTGCTTAACTTTTATGAATACAAATATTTGTCCTTAATAAAAACATTGCAAATTCTCAAACAAATTTCGATGGAAATGAATTTGTGTGTGGCGAAAAAAAAGCATTTGGGTTAAAATAACTGGAGGTTAAATCTAACATTCGATATGTAATTGTTTCTGTCAAATTGTTCTTTTGATAAAACTGAAACTTGCACAATCTAAGTCATATCGATTGTTGTAAGGGTGTTATGTCTTTGTACATTTGTTTGTAACATGGAGAAGGAGCATCTTCATAGAATCACTTTCTGAGTCGATTTATGCATGTCAGTTCGTCTGTCCGTCTGTCTGTCCATATATTTTTGTGAACAATATGCAGGTCGCATTGATAATCCAATTGAGATGATATTTTCCAAACAATATTTGTTTGAACCAAAGGGCGAACACTATTGAAATTGGTAAGAATCGGTTCAAATGTAGATATAGCTCCCATATATATTTTTCAAACCGATTTCGAATTAATTGTGCACCAAATGCCCAATATCAGTCCAAATCACCTGAATATTGGCACATCCGACCGAATTCAGTCTCAAAGCAAGTGCGTTAAATTTGATGAAAATCGCTTTAAATATAGCTATAGGTCCCATATATATGTTTCATCCGATTTGGTGTTTAGGTCTCTCACATTCGTAATATGTACTCCACAAGAATGATATTTGGTACCAGATACAGCCCAGAAATACCTGTGTAAAATTTTATCGTGATCGGATCAGATTTGGATATAGCTCCCATATATATCTTTATCCGATATCAGGTTTATTTTGCACAAAATGGCAAATATCAGCCCAAATTGACTGAATTTTGCCACTTGCGACGGAATTCATTCCAGAAGCAAGCACTTCACATTTTGCTGAGACTGGATTCAAAATCCGATTTGATCCCTCAAATGCGTAATATGCACTCCACAACAGATGCACCCCAAAAATACCTCTGGCAAATTTTATCGAGATCGGTTCAGATTTCTATATACCTTCGCTATACATCTTCATCCGAACTGCCCAATTTGAATAGATTTATTCTTATTCAACCGAAACTCGGTCGGTATATCTATTGCTCTAATAAATATTTTTTCATATAATTTTTATCGAAGTCATTCATGATCTATACTGCAATGTTATTTGGTACCAGAGGTGCAAAATCCTCCGTCAAATTTGTTGAAAATCGATTCAGAGTTGGATATAAGTTGTACCCAAATTGTGACTACTCTGATGCCATGAGACGCATTCAAATAAGGTTCGTAGTCGCTATGATATTCTCATAAATTCCCAATATAAAATTTTTGTTACGGGAGCTCTGTGGCCCCGCCCGACGTTTGATCTTTCCTTACTGATTTCGATATTGGAAAGAAGAATTTGGCTTTAAGTTTTGTACGACATCCATAACAAATATTGCCACGTTTCAAAGACGTTTGGTACCAATGTAACCTGGGGGTTTGACGTTTTCGAAATGATCATATCTATATTCCTTTTTATAAAAAAATGATGTTCTTCTAGCCATTGAATTGGGATATAATATGCCTGATGAGCCGCCTAGTGCTGGCATTTTGCTAGATTCCAATTTTCACTGCCATATCCTTAGATCATTATGAGCTCAATCTGATAGAGAAAATTATCAAATATCCATCAATAAATGAAAGTCCCCCTAATAAGGCAACATTTTCTAAATTTCATAATTAAAATATATAATTCTTTTCTTCCGACGCTCACTAAAATGGTTCCTGTATCCATTTCTGGCTACGTTACACTGAAATTCAAAATCGTCGTTCCTAATGAAAAATCTATAATTTTGAATATTTGTACAAAAAAAAAGTATTTTTTAAATAATTTTTTATTCTGGTGGGCAGACAAAATGTTGAGCCTTTTTTCAATTTGAGTTTCAAAATATTTCATTCTCCGTTTATTGCCATTAATTATCTTTTTTTTATTAAAATGTTCCCCTTCATTTGCTAATTATTTGTGACCATTTTAGTTGATATGTTGCAAAATAAAATTCATTTCTTTATGTCATTTGACAGCTTCTTTGGTTAGGTTTTGAATTAAACTTTTCTGGCAAATAAAAGTGTTCCCCGACGAAACCTGCAATGCCTGTCAGCAAAGAAGTTAGAAACTGTCACTGCAGTTGACAGGCATTTATGTCGATGAACAAAAGTGGGCCAACATATATATATGTATTACAAATGGCGGCATAATGTCAAAGGATAAAATAAAATAAAAACAAAAATACAAAATGGAGAACATTAAGAAACAAAAAAAAAAACTAAAAATATAAAACAACTTTTTACAGAATAAAGTTAAACAAAAATTTTTTACATATTTTGTGGCAGATTTTTATTATTACTAATGGCGTAAAGATGCAATGAGATTATATGAAATTTATATAAAAATAGTTACAAAATTAGTTAATTTTTTGGATTGAAATTAAATAAAACATTTTGCCTATTTTCATTTTTGTGTCTATATCTCTATGGGATTTTAAATTAATTTTTGCACAACTAACAATAGTCGATTTCCCTATATCAATATATTTTAGACTTCTTTGATTATGATTTTATTTTTCAAAACTTCAGTAAAAGAGTTGATACCATTTGCGACGTTATGGTTGATAGAACCCAATATTCATTAGCACAACCTTAAGAGTTACTCTTTCCAAGCCTTCCAGGACCTAAATCCAGATTTTTTCTCCAATTTGTCTTCTTACTAAGATTTGTTTAAATAATTAGCTTCTTTCTCCTCCAAAGGAAATTATTGTCACAAATTGTTTGTTTTTTGAAATTTAAATAAAAAAAAAACCAAAAAATCAAAAAAAAAAATAATAAAATAAATAAATAAAAATATTAAAACGAAAAATTCATTTTGGAAATAATATTTTTTTTCCAAAAGAGGAAATAAAAATAAGTTCAGAGGCCGCACTTAAGTGCCATTATTTGTAGTTTTTGTTAGCAAAATGTAGTTCTTTACCAACGTCTCCGGTGGACATCACCGGGTTATAGAATATCAAACAATTTTATCATTATCCGATTCGTTTAGGCAGCTATCCAGCAATATAAGGGGTGCGGAATTATATTTTTCATTTCCAAATTTGTATGAAATATTTTTTGTGATTTTTTTTCATTTTTATTACTTTATTGTTTTCCCTTACAATTTATAAACCCCCTTTAAACTTATATCTAATTCCAATCCTTTTTCTATTATTTTTCAGAAATCTTTATGGGGATATTATCAAAAGGTTTTTGTCACAACATTTTTTCCTAATACATATACGTATATATAAAATTGAATGATTATTGCATGGGATATATTGTATTTCAAAACTAGTGCCTATTTGAGGAACTCTAAGGTCATGCGAAAGAATGACAGCATTCCAAATGAGTTTTTCAAAATTTGAATTAAAATAAAAACAAAATCGAGCATATTAATGTTGGAATTTTCAATTTCGTATCGAAATACACACCCAAATAATATTCTTATACAAAAATGCATGCTTGCTTTTCTAAATTATTCAATGAGCGCAGATTAGGCTCTACAATTGTAGGCGGGACAATGCTAGAAACTGAAGAGAAATCTATTTTCCTGGAACTAAAAATTTTGTGTGTAAAAGAAAAATTATATTGAAGACATGAATGTCATTTTCGGGCTACACCGGCGCATTAGGGACCTGGAAAAAGTAAAAAAATTGTTAAAAATAAGTTTTGTAAAATATATGGTAATATAAAAAAAATTGTAGAAAATTTGTCACAAATGTCTTGAAAGCCCAACAAATATTATCAGTTTCTACCCCATATGAGTAGTTTGAAATGTGATTTAAAAGTCTAGAGATATCGTATTATGTGAGTCATAACTAGATTTAAGAATTAATTATGGCCTAACGCCCACGCCCACGCCCATTATTGTTTTGAAATTTTAATATCGAATAGGGTTCAATATAAGTCGTGTTAAAAAGGAACGAATTGAGTTATAAAATGCTTGCTGTATTGACTTTTTTGTACAGAACTTACAATCTTTACAATATATGCTGAGAAAGTTTTTGCGAAGCATAAGGAGCATACTTTTAGGCGCATAAAAAGGCGCGAATTTGAATAAATACTAGGGTTTAACTCGTTTTCTATGAAAATTTGAAATGTAAGTTGTTATAAAGCAAATAACTAACACTCACATACTTAGAAAAACCATTTTCGGTCGGACAGGTGTAATAATTTTTTTTACCATACAACACCATAATTAACGTTAAAAGTCTATAGAAGTGCTAAACTTTGACAAAACAGACGTATTTTTTAATATTGGGATACATGATAGGACTTATTAAAATTCATTTGAAATATGAAGTTCCATCTCTGGTTTTCGAGGAGTTTAAAAGTAACTTTCTCGTTTTCAATTTAAAAAGCCGAGTTGGACCTAATTGACACTTCTTGCGAACTATCTTCACACACCAAATGTAAACGTACTAAAACCATCGAAATTTGTAGGCTTCTGCCCTGTCTTGAACTCCTTTCCCATGAAAAATTCCATGTCGACTTGTCTATAAGTGTAAGCTGTGGAACACAGCTAAATTAGGATTTTTTCTGGTTTTGGTCCAACCCCAAAATATTTTTTTTAACCCCAAAATATTTTACAAACATCTCCAAGAAATAGACTTCTATTATGACCTCAACCTTAACTCCATTCAAAATTTCAAAATTAAGCTTCTATTGGAACTTTAACCTTAACTCCACTCCAAATTTCGTGAGGATCGGACAAAAAATGTCTCACTACAAAAATCCAAAAAATATTTTTTTTTATATTTAATGTTTAAATTTGAATAATTTTTAACACAATTAAAGCATTTTTTCTTCTTACAAAATTACAAATACCCAAATACATCCCTAATACAGAACATATATATATGCTTATACATGTACATAAAAGGATATACATACGATGTATCTATTCTTGTGGTTAACACAATGGTTGGCAAACATATGGTGGTCGATTATGGCATAAATGTGGTTAACAATAACTTCTATGGAAAAAATACAATGTAAAAATAGAAAAAACCTCTATAGTTTTCAACAATGGCTTGAATTTATTTACAACTGATTTAACATTCAATATTGTTTTTTTTTTTAACAAAAAAAAAACTTAATAATTTTTCAAACTAAATTTTTTCCAATATTAAATAAAATATTTGTTGGTTGGCTGCAAAAACCACCAAAGCAAACAAGCACGCATATATTCCATACATATCCACGTATATATGAACCTACATACACACCTATGTTTCAATATATATCTATTTACTCTTGAACATACCATTCACCCATGTGTGTGCTACCACTTCCGTTTCCGTGTTTAAGTACAAACACACGCACGCATCCCACCAGCCGACCGACCGTTCGGCCGAACCAAATAGATAAGACACGCAAAATAAAAAACAACATAAAACAGTTGCGGTCAAATAAACATTGAAGAAAAAAATAGTAGAAGAAGAAGAAGTCGAAAACAAAAAGCGGGCAATACAAAACCTATGGCAATGGTAAACGCATCAATACTAGCCGTTGGCTATCAAACAATTGGAAGCCACAACCCGGCTGTACTATTCCCAGCGGGACTGGCGCGGTTAAGCACCCCTCCTGGAAGCTATAAATTTTCAATTATAAACGCCCCAAAAAGTTATTTTTTCTCCGTTCCATTCGTTCTTTTCGTTCCTGCTGTGTGAATTTAAAATGCTGAGATTTTTCATTTTGAGTTTTTTTTTTCGAATTCACACACACACACATACCTGTGTAACTTTTAATTTAATGTGTTAGCATAATATTTCTATAACACTTGTTTCAAATATTCTCATTAAATATTTATGGGAAGGGGTTTTTGAAAAACTGGGAAAAAATTGGTGGAGAGGGTCGAAAATAATGTTAAATTTATTTTTAAAAATTAAATTGTGGAAATAGATTTAGAATGGAAAAACGTGTGCGATAACCTAGTTTAAAGGAAAATTTGAAGGTCAAAGGACATTTTAAATTAAGGAACGCCCAAAAAACGGGGTAAAATAAGTTTTCATAGACACCGGATAAATTAAATAAAAAATTAACATTAAAGCCAGAAAATTAAAAAAAAAAATTGTCAGTAAAAGAGCCGTCAGAAGAGCAGAGTTCTAAATTTCTTAAACTTTTTATGCTGCAAAAATTGAATAATTGAATCCACATGCATTTCGATAATCTTCTGGTAAATTATTAATGAATATTTGGTCAAAAATTCAATCTCAGCTGGTGTTTTAAAAAATCATTTTGAAAAATGTATTTCGGAGCTCAAATTGACCAATCTTTTGTTCTAATGCAGAACCTACCAGAATTTACTAGTTTAGCAACTATTTCCCGATATCATTAAGGAAAAATGGGCTATTGTAGTAAAAAGTTTAATATTCTTACAGTTCTGGAACAGAACAGGTCACATGAAAAACTGCAACAAATTCAAACGCCATAATTTTTACATTTTTTTTTAAATTTTATTGAATGAAAGCTAAAAATCTCGGAAATAGCATCAAATTTTAGAATAAGTTTAGATTTATTCGAATTGGTCACCTTTGGCACGAATTATGGCCTTCAAAGGCCAATGATACTGTCACACGCTGCCTGAATGTTGCTCTGAGGTATTTTGGCCCATTCCCAACGAAGCGCTTGTTTGAGGTGATCGCCACTTTGGTATTTTTTAGTCCAACGGATTGGTATCCGGAGATTTTGAGGGACATTGTGCTCTGAAAATGAAGCGAGGAACATCATTTTATAAACATTCTAGGGTGGCGCGTGCATAGTGCGATAATGCTGAGTCCTGTTGGAATATCCAAGGTCTGCGGCTAAAATGTTTGCGTGTCCAAGGCTTTAATACACCCTCCAGAATATTTTCGCGATGATATTCGGCATTTATTCTGATGCCACGGTCGATAAATACGAGTGGAGAGCCACCATCGGCTGTTATGGCGGCCCAAATCATCACCATGGCCGACGCTTGAGTTCTGGTTGCCAACCGAAGGTGCACATTTTCAGCTGACCACTTTGGCAAGTAAACACGATAATTTTGTGTGTTTGTAAACTGCTGGACGATGAATGGTTTCTCGTCGGAGACTACCAAATTCACCACTTTCGGCCAAGCGAAGTAACTCTTTACTACTTTTGAGTCTATTTTCTTCGTGTTGCGGTGTAAGTTCTTGCACTTTTTGGAATATCAATGGCTTTACCCCGAGCTCATTTTTCAGTATTTGCCAAATAGAATACTACGATATTTTTAGCTCACGAGCCATTTTTCGGCCATTGCAACGCGGGTTTCGATCAAGTCGCTTCTTTACATTTCGAACCATTTCTGCTGATGTTGCTGTTTTCTTCCGTCCACTTCCTTGACGTCGGGCTACGCTACCAGTATCACGGTAACGAGCGATGATACGAGACACAAAAGATTTATTTACATTTAAATGCTGGAGTGCTGGAGGTTTTCCAGCCAAATATAAATAAATCACATTATCACGCTTGAATTCCATCACGAATAACTTTTTTCTGGAAAATTCTCACCAAAATGTTTTGTACGCTTGTAAACAATATAATGAGCTGTCACTGGAATAATTTTACCAGCTGTCAGACGAGTGGCTTAGAAATGACAGCAGTCTGAATTTGGTCGTAATTTCTTCATCTCACCCTGTATGTAAATCCTAGAAACCAAAAGTGACCTCAATATCAGATATATACCTTCACCCAATAACAAATATAGTAGCATTAAGTACTTGTCGTGCAATCATAATACATTTCCCACATAACAAATATATCAATTCCAGATATCAGCAGAAACCTCAATATCAAAATTGAGGATTCCAGTCCTGTTCCTTAGTACTTTTCGTACAAATATAGGACGCATTTTCAAAAACCATCGCCAAATCTCAAACATTAGATACCATTAGTAATCCAAATATCAAATTTCGGAATTTTATGTCTATCCATTCTCCCAATAACATATTTCGTACTATTAAGTACTTTTCGTAGAATTATAGTACGCATTTCCGATACCACCTCCATATGTCCAGCATACACAAACACTATCTCTTCAGCCAATATAAAATATGTATGAAACTATTTAGTACTTTTACATCCCACATCCGTTCATCCCAAATGCAAATTGTACCAAATTAGGTACAATTTAGTGCAGTTGGTACATTTGGTACACATTTCCTAAGCCACGTTCATATATCAAACTTACTTCCCAACCTTGATTCCCATAAAAAAAATAGTCCAAGATTTTAGTTCTATCCGTCCACATAAAACCAAATAGTATCATTTTAGAAGTTTAATACCATTATGGAACTTTTTTTAATCTTAAAATTCGAATTTCCAAAAACTCTTTGGTACATCTATCCCGCAGTCCCATCAGTGAGTCTCATGCCAATTTTCAGAATACTAGCTCATTTCGTTTGTCCAATAAAAATAATTAAATTTTTAGTTGTTGCAAAATGGCCAGGCTTTAGCCCTTTATTGTTGTTTTTATAAAAACAACGTTTGTTTATGAGTGGAGAACGATGGTAATGTTTACCAGGGGGTAAGGCAGGAAATACCTAGGATTCGGAAAGAGCCACCAATCCTCATCAGTTCCCTTGTTTTTTGTCTGGGATATTTTATTATTTTAACAAGTAAAAAAGCTGTAAGTTCGGCCGGGCCGAACTTTTAATACCCTCCACCATTTGGTACAAAATTTGACAATTTCCAAAAAACAAAATCCGTTAAAAATTCTGTTAATATCTTAAGAATTCCGAATGCTTATACGACGACGTGGGCCTGCATAGGCAAGTTTTGTCATAAGTTATTACAATATTTAAATGCGAAACTTGAAGAAAAATCTGTTTATAATGTAGCTAAAATCATTAAAATACCGTATATGGGGGGTACCGTTATATGGGGGTTATACGAAGACGTGGACCTGCACAGACAATTTTCTGGCATGGGCTGAAGTATCCATTACGACCTTCACATGCCGTATTTGAAACAATCCCGGTAAATAATGTCGCTAAAATCATCAACATACCAAATATCGGGGGGTACGGAATATGGGGGCTATATGAAGACTTGGACCAATATGGCCCATTTTCTGTTTTATGCTGCAGTATCTATTACGAACTTTGAATACCAAATTTGGAACGATTTCGCTAAATAATGTCGCTAAAATCATCAAAATACCGAATATCGGGGGCTACCGTTATATGGGGGCTATATGAGGACGTGGACCTACATGGCTCATTTTTTGACTTAGGCTGTAGTATCCATTACGAACTTCAAATACCAACTTTGAAACGATTCTGGTAAACAATGTCGCTAAAATCATCAAAATACCGAATATCGGGAGGTACCGTTATATGGGGGCTATATGATTTCTTGGACCTACATGGCCCATTTACGAACTTAACCTGCCTACTGGCAAAATATACATGTTTGCAAAATTTTAGCCTTCTATCTCTATTTGTTCGAAAGATAGCGTGATTACAACAGACAGACGGACATGGCTAAATCGTCTTAGAATTTTACTCTGATCAAGAATATATATACTTTGTTGGGTCTGACATGAGTATTTCAAGGAGTTACAAACGGAATGACAAAATTAATATACCCTCCATAGTATGGTGGAGGGTATAAAAATAACTTCTAAGACAAAAAACATTTTTTACCCAAGTTACGAGATTTTTTAGTATATTTCAATACTTTTTCGGTCCCGTTCAGTACGGATTTCTGAACGCACAGGATTTAAATGTTTTATCTACGCCAAAATATTTTTTAAATTTTTTTTATTAATTAATATTTATTGTTATAGAATTTTCATAGTTTCTGTTTATTGATAATATTCTTCTCTTTTCTTTATTCTCCTTCTTTCAGTTACGGCGGCATTCGTGGCGGTTATCAACATTTTGCGCCACAAGGTGGTCAAGATTCTGGCTTTCCCAGTCCACGCAGTGCTTTAGGTTATCCATTCCCGCCCATGCATCAAAATTCATATTCCGGCTATCATTTGGGTAGCTATGCGCCGCCCTGTAATAGTCCACCAAAAGATGGTAAGTTGCAAGAAGATAAAATCAAAAAAAAAAAATAAATAATAAAAAAAAAAATAAAAATAAATAAAAAAAAACAAATGCACAAATAAAATAACAATAAATTGTTCAAAAAAAAAAAAAAAAAAAAAAAAAATATTAAAAATGCAAACAAACCAACCTGACTATTTGATATGAAGTAATAAGTCTTATATTTTAATACACTCATGAAAATAAGTGCAGCACTTTTATCCGCCACTTCTCCACTTGGGCAATATTATCGATTGATTGTATATCACATACTCAAAAACAAAACATAAAAAAATGGTCATTAATGTATCGTTTAATAAATAACTATTGAGTATTTGTTGTATCTGATCAAATTTATTGTTGTTGTTATTGTTGTTGTTGGTTTCTGTTTTTCTGATGATTTATCAATACTCTTTATGAATTTGACAGTTTTTTTACATAATACAAAAAATATATACATTGGAATAAAGCAGAAAACAAGTTGACCACATCAGTCCGCCAGTTCGGCCAAACTGCTTTTTTATTAGCTTCTAAACCGACCACATTGCGTTTAATGTCAGAGTCATACATGTTGTGTGTTTTGGTTGTGAGTTAAGCTGCAGATTATTATCTATGAATTGGTAGAAAAGGACATTTATATGACATTAATAAACAGTTAAGCACAAAACAACAACAATAACAACAACAACTTATATATGCATATATGCGTATGTATATATGTATGACTGTTGGTTTGTAGAAGCCATCAAAAGTGATTGATTAGAGTATGATCCAAAGTACATATCAGTGGTTTGAAGTTTTTGTTTAGTTAATACTTTGTTTTGAGTTAATGAAGAGAAGAACAAAAAACAAATAAATAAACAAATTTTGGAGGGGATTCCCAGCGAAATGGAAATTTTTAAAACAAAAATAAAAATTTGATTCTTTCATGGAAAAGACTTTCAGCAAATCCAAAATTTTTGGGATTTTAAGACAAGCGATTTCAGTTATCTTCTACTGGGGGGTATAAAATATAGGGGTCCTATCGAAATGTACGCAGTTTTTTATTGTTTTCAGATAAGAAATTGTACTCCAAGATTGCAGATTTATTCTACTCCAGGTGGGGGGTATACAGGGTGAGATAAAATAAACTGCAAAAAAGTCAAACGCCATAATTTTTACATGTTTTTTTTTTAATTTTATTGAATGAAAGCAAAAAAATGTCGGAAATAACATATGGCCTTCAAAGAGCCAATGAAACTGTCTCACGCTGCCCGAATGTTGCTCTGCTGTATTTTGGCCATTCCCTGCGATGCGCTTGCTTGAGGTGATCGACACTTTGGTATTTTTTAGTGTCAACCTTGCTTTCCAAAATACTCCAGACACAAACCATCACCATGGCCGGCGCAGATTTTTAGCTGACCTCTTTGGCAAGTAAACACGATCATTTTGTTTGTTTACAAACTGCTGGACAACGACTGTTCTTTTTTTTTTTGTCGGAGAAAACCAAATTCGACAGTTCACCACTTTCGGCCAAGCGTAGCAACTCTTTAGCTCATTAGAGTCTATTTTCTTTTTATTGAGGTGTAAGTTCTTGCACTTTTTGCAATTTCAATTGCCTTACCCCGAGCTCATTTTTCAATATTTGCCAAATGGAATATTGCGATATGTTCAGCTTACGAGCCATTTTTGGGCTACTGCGACGCGGGTTTCGATCAAGTCGCTTCTTTACTTTTCGAATCATTTCTACTGATGTTGCTGTTCCGTTCTTCCGTCCACTTCCTTGACGTCGGGCTACGCTACCAGTATCACAAAAGATTTATTCACATTTAAATGCTGGAGTGCTCTAACGATAGCCACTTGTGGTTTTCCAGTCAAATACGAAGAAATCACACTATCACGCTTGAATTCCATCACGAATAACTTTTTTTCTGGAAAAATTCTCACCAAAATGCTTTTGTCCGATTGTAAACAATATAATGACCTGCCACTGGAATAATTTTAACAGCAGTTGGACGAGTAGTTTAGTAATGACAACAGTCTGAAGTTGATTGCAATTTTTTCATCTCACCCTGTACATTGTTGGCTCCGACCTAACTTTACGCCGGTTTTGTTTTTAAATTGTTTTCAGGTGACAAGTTTGAATATTTGAATTTTCGTCTCATCTTTGTTTTAAGTCTCACGGTACACCTTTACTGGGAACGGTTTCTTGCCTCCATATTTCCCTCTCTGCAACCGGTCTGCCTGCCCAGACTAATTTGACTGCAGTCCGTCACACATTCACTCGCTCACTCTTAGCACCCTCATATATTTTGTTTTATTATTTTATTTATTCAAATTACTTTTGCCCGCGCACAACCAAGTGGTTGTTGTCATCTCACCATCATCATCGTTGTGTTGTTGTTGTTGTACTATCATATTTATAATAAAATATATATATATTTTTTTAAATACAAGCTTGTTATTGTAACTTGTGGCCAGGTTGGCTTTGGCTTGTCTTCATTGAAAGTTGTTTAAGCACACAATGCAGCTTGTCTCGTTTACGTTGTCTTAGGTCTCCCCCCTGGCATACACTCAGAGAAAATTTTGAGGCAAACCAGATTTTTATCGAAAATAACAGCTCTCCTACAACAAACACTTGAGTACCAGCAGCAGCAGCAGCCATAAAAACCACTTTAGATCTTCAAATCATTCCCATCAGCCTCAACGTCAGTGGCCAAGGCATCTTCATCATATTTTCTGAGCAAAAGCCTCAGCACATAATACTTCCACTTCGTCATCGTCATCACATCACAAATGGGACTTGCAACAGCAGCAGCAACATCTCTAACCAGCATTAAATACAACACCAACAACATGTTTGGGTTTGGGGGATTGGTACTGGAAATGTTTAACAACTCTCCAAAAGATGTTGAGAGCAGAAAAAGAAAAAAAATCACATAATAATAATGAAAGGAAATCACAATAGAAAAGGATGTTAAGTCGCTTATTTTGTGTGGGATATTTAAATTATTGAATGGATGGGAAAGGGTGTTACAGATAAGGGAGTGATGGATGAAAAGTTTATTTGGAATAAGGAAATGGATCATGGGTTTTATTTCCTATAAATTTTATATTCCAGGAGGTGATGGTATGGAAAGGCGATTTGGAATAAGGAAAAGGATCGTGGCTTATATTCCCCATAAATTGTATATCGCAGGGAAAAAAGGATGCTGGGTATGGAAATAATCTCAGAAATATGGAAGCGAATCGGCTGGATTACAATATCCACAAATTTCACTTCCCAGGGTTTATTTTAAGGTTTCTGCACGTATTTGGTACTTTTCTCAAATTAACACAATTCTCATCACTCCAAAATAGGACAGTATAGTGACCATTTGCACACTTTTACAGAAGTTAGAGACCAAATCAGCCATCAGTTTCGTTTCTGGGGATTTGTTAATTTTAAAATCTGTTATACAGAGTAAGTGAAAACTGCAACCAACTTCAGATTGCTGTCATTTCTAAGCCACTCGTCCTACAGCTGTTAAACTTATTCCAGTGACAGCTCATTATATTGTTTACAAAAAGAAAAAAAGTTATTCGTGATGGAATTCAAGCGTGATTTCTATATATTTGGCCGAAAACCACAAGTGGCTATCGTTAGAGCACTCCAGCATTTAAATGTGAAGATTTAAATCTTCAGTGTCTCGTACCATCGTTCGTTAACGTGACACTGGTGAGATAGCCCGATGACAAGGAAGTGGACGGAAGAAGACAGAAACATAAGCAGAATTGCTTCGAAAAATAAAGAATCGACTTGAACGAAATCCGCGTCGCAGTGACCGAAAAATGGTCCGTGAGCTGAACATATCGCAAAATTTCATTCGGATAATATTAAAAAATGAGTTCGAAGTAAAGCCATTAAAATTCCAAAAAGTGCTAGAACTTACACCGCAACAGAAAGAAAATAGAATCAAAAGAGCTAAAGAGTTGCTTCGCTTGGCCGAAAGTGGTGAACTCCCGAATTTAGTTTTCTCCAATGAGAAAACATTCGTCGTCCAGCAGTTTGTAAACAAACAAAATGATCGTGTTTACTTGCCAAAGAGGTCAGCTGAAGATGTGCACCTTCGGTTGGCCACCAGAACTCGTGGTGTGGGCCGCCATAACCGCCGATGGTCGATCTCCACTCGAATTAATCGACCGTGGCTTCAGAATAAATGTCGAATATTATCGCGAAAATATTCTGGAAGGTGTATTTAAGCCTTGGCCACGCAAACATTTTGGCTGAAGACTTTGGACATTCCAATAGGACTCAGCACCATCGCACTCAGCTCGCGCCACCCAAGAATGGTTACAAAATGAGGTTCCTCGCTTCATTTCCAGCTCACAATGGCCACCAAAATTTCCGGATACCAATCCGTTGGACTATTGTATCTGGAATGAGCCAAAATACCGCAGAGCAACATTCGCGCATCGTGTGACGGTTTCATGGCCGTTTGGAGGCTATAATTCGAGCCAATGGTGACCAATTCGGAGAAATCTAAACTTATTCTAAAATTTGATGCTATTTCCGACATGTTTTGCTCTCATTCAATAAAATTTAAAAATTATGGCGTTTGACTTTGTTGCAGTTTTGTTTATATCAACCAGTATATTCTGTAGACATAAAATATTAAAAAAGTCACCGGTATCTTCAATACCTTCAAAATAAATCAATCTCTTTTTAAGTGGCACCCAATGGAGTAATACAAACCCCCAAAAGTAATCACTATTTTCAACTCTAAAAATTCTACGTACTTTAAATGTATTATCTAGACATAAGGTTGAGGTATAGAAAAGACTTTTATTTGCCACCGCCATCTTCAAATCATTAAAAATACATCAATTTTTCAAGTGGCGCCCAATGGGTTAGTCATACCCCCAAAAGTAGGCATTTTTTACTATATTTTTTCAAATAAAATGCTAATTGTTGTTGTATTTTCTTTAAAAAATTAGTTATAGTTGGTTATATTAAAAAAAAAGAAATTTTAAAA